GGATATTCAGTAAAGGTTTTTTCAGTTGAAACAAGGGAGGACTTGCCCCTCAAGAAAGATGGTAAAAGAAAAGGGCTAAACTTGTGCTCTGAAGATTTCTTAGGGGGTTCAAAATTGGTTAATATCTCTTTAGCAGTGATTACTATTGCGATAACAATTGCACTGTTTTTTCAAATTTCTTACGGTGATTATCAGGTACGAACGAAATATTTTTTAATGTTCTTATCTCATATAATTATATATGTAGATAATACCCCATGGTAGTGTAGCAACAGACTCAAAGGAATGCTCTGTAATTGGCACAGAAATTATGAAAAGGGGTGGAAATTCGGTAGATGCAGCGATAGCGAGCATGTTTTGTCTAAGTGTTGTTTCACCCCATATTATCAGTTTGGATGGGTGAGTTTCCCAATCGAGTTTGTAAAATCGTCTTTGGAATTAAATATATATACAAAAAAAAACGTTTTTAGACAAGGCGAAGCCATTATTTACAATCATAAAGAACAGGTCCCCCCTGTTGTTATCAGTTTTAATAAAAATTCGGCCAGTGTATCAACTTTACCAAATTTAGTTGCTGGTTTGTCGCATTTATACCTTCATTATGGTAAAATGAATTGGAAAGAACTCATTGAACCATCAGTATCACTTGCAAGGTGAATTTTTATTATTTTTTTTATTGTAGTACCCTAATATAATGCTATCTTTAAATGAAATCAAAATACTTTTTCATTGCAACTCTAGAAACGGATTTAAAATTTCTTCACATTTGGCGATAGCAGTGAGATTTTTAGAAGCCGAAAAACTTTTCGGAGTTCTTAAAGAAAATAATGAGTTAAAGTTAGAAGTCCTTGCAAATACTTTAGAAAAGTTTTCGTCACTTACAAACGACGGTATGTAATTGAAATACGAAAAAAAATGTAGAACTATGAATTACTTTTTTTAATGTGTCTAGAAATTCGAAATTTAATACCTCGTCAAAATCAGCCAGAAATAACGACTACAGCAAACATGACATTTCAATATTACAATATATTTGTACCGGGGGGTATTTCCGAAGGACCTGTGTTACTTCACACCCTCAAACGATTTCAACAAGAAAATTTAACGAACTCAAACTCCACCATCGAAAGTGAGTTTATACCAAAAATTGCAAAAATAAATAAAATGGTCCACGATGAACTTAACATGAGTGATACATTTTTCAAAGGAACTAGCACCAATGTAGCTGTAATAGATGACAATGATTTATACATTTCATTAGTTGGGTTTGTATTTTTTTCCGTTTTTGTTTTTTTCTGCTTTTGTTTTTGTTATTTGCCTTTTGTTTTTCCATTTCTGTTGGTTTTTTACTTTATTTTTGTTGTTTGGCTTTTGTTTTTAGCATTTATTAAAAAAAAGAACAATTTTAGGGGTTTGCATGAATATTTTGGAAATCGAATATTTAGCAATAGCGGTTATCTGCTGGATATAAAAACGGAATTACAGCCACCCTCCCGTTTCCCCATCCTTATTTTGGACAAGGATTATATTTGCGGTAGACGAATTATTTTTGGGGCACTTGACTTTGTAATGGCTTCCGAAATTGTGGCACATTTGTTAATAAATTCGGAAAATGTGACGACGAGCGTCGAGGCGCCGCGCTTTTATATCAGACCTGATAATTTATTCGGAATTGAAGGTAAACTCCAGTGGCGTAGGCATACGATTTCTTTAGGGATCAATTAATTCAAACAAAAGATGGCGTCCTCAATGGTACCAAAGGGTAAAATTTATGTTAATTAATGTTTTAATTATTTCAGATATGCGTTCTACTACTTTTGACTCTGCAACTATAAGAAATTTAGAAATAACAGCCGGAAATGTCACCCCGTTACATAAGCCATATGCTAGTTGTAATATAGTGGAAAAAAATGGAGATACTTTAGTTTCACATTCTGATAGTAGAGGTGGGGGAATTGCTAGTCGATTTTAAGACGTTTATATAATTATTTATTTGGCTGTGAAACTGTTCATATTGAAAAAATTAACATTGAAGTATTATGAGACATATAATTAATTTTTTATGTAACTATTTACTTAATTGACTGTATTTATCATAAATATCACTTTTGAAATAGATATTTTATCAGAATTATTCATACATTTGCGTGAAATAGTTAATTGAAATTGTTTCGATTTTTGTTAAACGTTTGCATGGACCGTGGCAGAAAGGATTGCAAAAGTGAGTTATTTTAAAACTATTTTAAATACATAAAACTTTTGACAAGTCTAAACGTCAATTTTTAAAATTTATTCGATCCCACGTGNTCCACAGTCATTTCCAAGAACTGCTACGAAATCTACGAATTAATTGTAGTATCTGTGGGCTACGAAAACAGTTAAGGTCTGGCGCTAAATTTGAAAACGCATCATTTCTATCAAATCTTATATTGAACAACAGAACTTTTTACAAGACTGTCATATGCACAACTTAATATTACATCTTTATACCTAAATAAATTACAACACTCCCCACGCTTCTTCAAATGCAGAACAGAGTTTTGTGCATGTTAAGGCAGCTGATAGTGGATAATTGCTGATAGCTACAGTTTCTTCAGTATAATCAATTTCTAATTTTCCATGGGCCATTGCACCTACCACCACAACAACAGGGTCTTCTGTTTGAGGAACCAATTCTCTTGGATTCACAACTTTATTAGAAGAGAACGACATACAAATCTTTTTAACTCCAACAGGTAAATGATCTGTGACAGGGTTTTTAATCACCTTTAAAAGCTTCATGTTTCCATCACTTGCTCTAACTGAGAACTTGTGCAATAACTGAACTAAAATAAAGAAGTAATTTTTTTACAACAGCTTTTGCATTTTTCTTTATAATTTACCCATTAATCCTGCAAATCGTTTAAAGGTTCGTGGAATTCTTGTCTGAGGGTTGATTTCTATAAGAATATTATGATTTGTGTGAACATAAACTTGTAATAGGGCAGCTCTGTTGAGGGGACTGTCCAACAACATGAGGAGACATTGGTGCACAATATCAGGACGACATGAACCAGGATCTCTGTTAGATTTTTTTAGAAAATTGGCATGGTCGTCACAATTAAGTAAATCAAACGAATTTCCTACCTACAAATACAAATATTCATTGAATTAAATGATAAACACGAATTTTAACCTAAAAACTAACCTTCACACTTTCAAGCTGTGCTTCTTCTAAAATAACTATTAAACGTTTTTCCTGATTTTTAATATGTCCTGTAACAAAATGTTTAGGAACAGGATCAAACTCGTTATCATCTTCTTTATTTTTTAATTTTCTTTTCTTTCCCATTTTAATTATTTTCTAAGGTTATCTATGAAATCTATGATTCTGTCGTAGATCAATGTTCACCATTGATATCCATATTGATATCAGTGGCTACGAAAATGAGATGCGCTCAATAGAATCAAATTGAGAAGCATTCAGTTTACTGAAAATAATGCCATGCCTACTTCGGTATGAACGTGAAATAAAAAAAAATTGGTTTTAATTTCTGTTTTAAATTTTTACTGGTTGATTAGGCCAGATCTAAGTAGTTTAGTTACGATTTTGTTTTTTCATGTTTCTACGGTCCGTAAACAAGAATCTGTCTTGACATGCTACCGTAAAGTAATAAAATTTTTTCTCGCAAGTAAATATAAGTGAGATTACGTTTAAGTGGCTTATTAAGAAATACTTTTTTAAGTTTGTAAATTAAATAGATTCCCCGAAGATTAAAGAAAAAGAAAAAAGGAGACGAGAATGAATCCAGTACCACATGCGAGTTACCCAATGGCGTCGCTGTATGTCGGGGATCTCCATGAAGACGTCACCGAAGCAATGCTTTATGAAAAGTTTTCTTCCGCTGGCCCACTATTATCTTTAAGGGTATGTCGTGATATTGTTACGAGAAGATCCCTTGGTTACGCCTACATCAACTTCCAACATCCTTGTGATGCTGAAAGGGCATTGGATACAATGAACTTCGATCTTCTCAAAGGGAAACCGATACGGATTATGTGGAGCCAAAGAGATCCGTCCCTTCGAAAATCTGGAGTCGGTAATATATTTATCAAAAATCTGGACAAAAGTATAGACAACAAAGCCTTGTACGATACATTCTCCGCCTTTGGCAACATCCTCAGTTGCAAGGTAGCGATGGACGACCATGGTAATTCAAAAGGATACGGTTTCGTCCATTTCGAGACGGAAAGGATTGCAAAGGAGGCCATCGAAAAGGTGAACGGGATGCTCCTGAACGGAAAGAAGGTCTACGTTGGAAAGTTCATACCTCGAATCGAAAGGGAAAAGCAGCTTGGGGAAAAGGCAAGGTTATTCAACAACATCTACGTCAAGAACTTCAAGAAGGACATGCAGGATCATCAGCTGCACGAGATGTTCTCTAAATTTGGCAAAATCACCAGCTGCGTAATTATGCGACACGTGGATGGTACATCTAAAGGGTTCGGCTTCGTGGCTTTCGAAGACCCCAGGGCGGCCGAGAAGGCGGTCAAAGAAATGCACAACAAAGATTCCAACGGTCAGATCCTCTACGTTGCCAGAGCCCAGAAGAAGGACGAGAGAGCCAGCGAACTGAAGAGACAATACGAACAGTACCGTTCAGAAAGGTACCATCGCTGCCAAGGGGTCAATCTGTTCATCAAAAACCTCGACGACACCATAGACGACGAGAGACTGAGGAAGGAATTCAATTCGTACGGTACTATAACGTCAGCTAAGGTCATGACAGAAGACGGAAGGAGCAAGGGATTCGGCTTCGTCTGTTACACGTCGCCCGAAGAAGCCACCAAAGCGGTTACCGAAATGAACGGCAGGATGGTGGGCTCCAAGCCCCTCTACGTGGCCCTGGCCCAGAGAAAAGAAGACAGAAAGGCGTATCTGGCCTCCCAGTACATCCATCGCGTTCGCATCCAGCAAAACATTGGATTCCCACCACCAAACGCCCCATATCTCATACCGTTCGCCCAAGGTCCGAGGTTCTTCAATCACATCAGGCCAGCACCCCGCTGGCCCGCGAACGGACCCATCAGACCCAACGGAACCTACGCCCCCCTTCCCGCATCGCCCTACAGGGTGGCGTCGAGAGCTTCCATCCCCAACAGCAGCATCAGGAACTCGATCATTGCCCGTCCGATCACGGGACAACAGACGCCCGTGGTGCATTCGAGACCCAACAGCAAATACACCACAAACAACCCCAGCAACGTGTTGAGACCCGTGACCGTTAATATCAACAATGGGGGCGACAGTGTGCCCCTGAACAGCAACGTGATATCGTCCTCGGTCTCCGCGGACCAAAAGCAAGCCATTGGGGAGAGACTGTTTAAGTTTGTGGACAAAATTAATTCCGAACTGGCGGGGAAAATAACGGGAATGCTTTTGGAAATTGACGTGACCGAGTTGCTGCACATGCTGGACAACCAGGACTCTCTGAGGGCCAAAGTCGAAGAAGCGATCGCTGTACTTAAGGCTCATCAAGCGAAGAAGATTAATATAGTGCAAGATTAAGGGGATCTTCCTCCCCTCCTCTCCCTCTCCCTCGCCCTGTCCCCCCCACCGGGATTTAGTTAGGATTAGATTTTTTTTAGTTATATCATTGCTTGTAGGCATTCGGGAAAGGGGCGTTTTATGCAAAGACAAAACACAACAAAAATGCTGGCCGTCTCTTTCCTTTTAATTGGCGTTATATCTTAAGTTTATAAACTTAATTTTTTTGTCTTATTGATTTTGTATCTATACGACGTGAGCGGTAGTTTATATACCCCCCTCATCGATTTATTTATTGACAGCTTTAACACTTATTTTGTACTGGTGAACTTCAGCAATAAACAATAAATAAATAGTTAATTGAAATTGTTTCGATTTTTGTTAAACGTTTGCATGGACCGTGGCAGAAAGGATTGCAAAAGTGAGTTATTTTAAAACTATTTTAAATACATAAAACTTTTGACAAGTCTAAACGTCAATTTTTAAAATTTATTCGATCCCACGTGAAAACGAGCGCGACGCCTATGGAGGTTTTTAGTTCTCACGGAATAAGGTGAATACATACACACACATGTATATACAATACCGTTAGACAATGATGGTACGTTCTTTACACACACAAACATGTTTAATGGGTTTATCATGGGTGGGGTTTGTCTAACCACAAGCCATGGTTCTGTTTCTGTCTTTATTCTTTAATTTTTGCTCAAGTAATTATCGTATTGTCTCTCTCTAAATATGTCTTAACTTTCATTAAAGTTTCTTTGATAATTTTTAAGTTTGATACACCATAATTTTAAGAAATATACGGTTCTAATTTAATTATGTATTCCAATTAACAATTTACTGTTTAGGAGTTAGTTTGGAATAATAATGGCTACAGGTAAGGCAACCATTTACATATTGTAACAATCAAAACTAATATTTAGCAAAAAATTGATTAATACAAATTGTTATAAAATTGTACGTATCAAGGTACTTATTAAGAATTTTTAATTTAAAATCGCCTTCCTACATCCTGCTCGAATGTAGCAGTAGCGTATCTTTAAGGCGTTACAAAAGGGTTGAAATAATTAAACGGATATTCAGTAAAGGTTTTTTCAGTTGAAACAAGGGAGGACTTGCCCCTCAAGAAAGATGGTAAAAGAAAAGGGCTAAACTTGTGCTCTGAAGATTTCTTAGGGGGTTCAAAATTGGTTAATATCTCTTTAGCAGTGATTACTATTGCGATAACAATTGCACTGTTTTTTCAAATTTCTTACGGTGATTATCAGGTACGAACGAAATATTTTTTAATGTTCTTATCTCATATAATTATATATGTAGATAATACCCCATGGTAGTGTAGCAACAGACTCAAAGGAATGCTCTGTAATTGGCACAGAAATTATGAAAAGGGGTGGAAATTCGGTAGATGCAGCGATAGCGAGCATGTTTTGTCTAAGTGTTGTTTCACCCCATATTATCAGTTTGGATGGGTGAGTTTCCCAATCGAGTTTGTAAAATCGTCTTTGGAATTAAATATATATACAAAAAAAAACGTTTTTAGACAAGGCGAAGCCATTATTTACAATCATAAAGAACAGGTCCCCCCAGTTGTTATCAGTTTTAATAAAAATTCGGCCAGTGTATCAACTTTACCAAATTTAGTTGCTGGTTTGTCGCATTTATACCTTCATTATGGTAAAATGAATTGGAAAGAACTCATTGAACCATCAGTATCACTTGCAAGGTGAATTTTTATTATTTTTTTTATTGTAGTACCCTAATATAATGCTATCTTTAAATGAAATCAAAATACTTTTTCATTGCAACTCTAGAAACGGATTTAAAATTTCTTCACATTTGGCGATAGCAGTGAGATTTTTAGAAGCCGAAAAACTTTTCGGAGTTCTTAAAGAAAATAATGAGTTAAAGTTAGAAGTCCTTGCAAATACTTTAGAAAAGTTTTCGTCACTTACAAACGACGGTATGTAATTGAAATACGAAAAAAAATGTAGAACTATGAATTACTTTTTTTAATGTGTCTAGAAATTCGAAATTTAATACCTCGTCAAAATCAGCCAGAAATAACGACTACAGCAAACATGACATTTCAATATTACAATATATTTGTACCGGGGGGTATTTCCGAAGGACCTGTGTTACTTCACACCCTCAAACGATTTCAACAAGAAAATTTAACGAACTCAAACTCCACCATCGAAAGTGAGTTTATACCAAAAATTGCAAAAATAAATAAAATGGTCCACGATGAACTTAACATGAGTGATACATTTTTCAAAGGAACTAGCACCAATGTAGCTGTAATAGATGACAATGATTTATACATTTCATTAGTTGGGTTTGTATTTTTTTCCGTTTTTGTTTTTTTCTGCTTTTGTTTTTGTTATTTTTTTTTTTTTTTAAGGACCTTACTCATCAACTTCGGGCCACTGAATCTGAACTTAATACGGCGAAGAATTCGTGGCCCCCTTGGTTAAGTAGAACCTTGACATCGATAAAAGAGGTAGCAAATAAAAAAGATTTCCCCCACTTTACGTATTCGCCCGCGGCTACACCCTCGTTTGTGTCACACGTGAGCGTTATTAGAAGAGAAAGTGCCCCAATGAAGGGTAGCGACTCTTGCGACGAATTAGATTCACGTAGAGAATCCGCCCCTAATATTAAAGATTCCCAAAGTTGTTCTAGTCTTAAGGCACAGAACTGATCTTGGCTTTTTTTCAGTCATTAACCAGTGACTGTAATGATTATTTTTTCTCATTGAAACATTAAAACGATCCAGACAAGTCCTAAAATCTATTTACAATAAGTTAATATATTATATTGTTATATTATATTAAAGAGAAAAAGTANATTGAAGGTAAACTCCAGTGGCGTAGGCATACGATTTCTTTAGGGATCAATTAATTCAAACAAAAGATGGCGTCCTCAATGGTACCAAAGGGTAAAATTTATGTTAATTAATGTTTTAATTATTTCAGATATGCGTTCTACTACTTTTGACTCTGCAACTATAAGAAATTTAGAAATAACAGCCGGAAATGTCACCCCGTTACATAAGCCATATGCTAGTTGTAATATAGTGGAAAAAAATGGAGATACTTTAGTTTCACATTCTGATAGTAGAGGTGGGGGAATTGCTAGTCGATTTTAAGACGTTTATATAATTATTTATTTGTCTGTGAAACTGTTCATATTGAAAAAATTAACATTGAAGTATTATGAGACATATAATTAATTTTTTATGTAACTATTTACTTAATTGACTGTATTTATCATAAATATCACTTTTGAAATAGATATTTTATCAGAATTATTCATACATTTGCGTGTTTATTGGTTTTATTTACTTTCTGGTATAAACCCGGCGCCATGTTTTTGTCGAGACTGTAGCTACCGGGACTATTGGTAGTAGCTACCAGTACCAACTAAAACGCTGCTTTCTTGTTTCTTTTTCTTTAAATAGGTTATGTTCATTGTTTTAAACGTCAGTGTCAATGCTCTGTCAGTTCGAATTAAACAAAATACAGGTATTTATTTATTGATAGATTAATTAACGTTTAAAATACCTTTGTGATAAAAGCAGAAAGTGGCACATATCATGGAGAACCCGTTTATATCTTCTTAACATTTCCAAGTGAGTATTGTTACGTGCTTATCTATATATACTGTTTGTCTACGATTTAATGAAGTGCTCAACTTGAACCTGTTAAATATCTATTTAGGAATCAAATGGTTTCCTTTCATTTCTAACGCAGCTATTATGGAGGATAGTGCAAGTCAAAAATCAAATGAATCGGTGGCTACGAGCGACGAATTCGATTTTGTTGACGACAAACCAGGCGCGAGCAAGACACCGACCTTGAATATTAACAACGGGGACCTTAATGAATTGAAAAACGCTCTAAAGGAAGTCCTACAGGAACCAAAAACGAACATGGACACCATTATGTCTGAGGAATCAAGAAAAGTGGGCAATTCTGTATTCTTTAGTTGTCCTGTTGCACCAGGTACGGATCCACTTAGTGTCCCAGTAGAAGTTTCTCCCACAGAAAAGCAAGATGAAATGAAGCCTGACAGCAGTGAAGAAGAATGTTAGTGACACGTAGTAATTAATTTGTTGTGCTAAAGTAATTGATTATGTACAGTTTCAGATGTTGACCAAGATTGTACGATATTCAGTGGGGTTACATATTTGGGGGCCGCGAATATAAATGCTCCCAAATCAGAGGCAGAAATCCAGCGTAACATGGCCATATTAAATGAACAGAGCTCAGACCAGGGCATTAAAATTGCTGTTTCTGTACCAACATCCTCACAAGGAGTTGTAGTGTAAGTCTTTTTTTGTTTAGTTTAAATTTAGACTCAATTAAGTTTTTGTTTAATTTTTAGACTTTATGATGCTAGTACACATTCTGTGATTGCCAGATATGAAATACACAGAATCCTGTTTTATGCTCGAGGGGCCATTGATAGTGAAGAAGCAAGTTGTTTTGCTTTTACCTGGTCACACGGAGACACTCAAGAATCTGCCATTTTTCAGTGCCATGTCTTCAGGTGTGATATTGCCGAGGCCGTCAGCAGAGTCTCTGGTAAAACATTGATCTATTTCTCTTGATATTATTTCATAAATGTAATACTAGCTTTTTCTTTTTGAACCCTCATATTTGGTCTCTGAAGTAAACAGTTTTAAGTATTATTCCAGTTTTCATTTTGTTCACGAAGAAGGATTTTAAAATGCACCTCCTTAATATTATTAAACATTGTTTGTTTTGTTTGTATTGTACATAATATCTACTTGACCTAGTACATAATGATAATTTCGTGTTGTTGTTATTGTTATTGCCTTGGGTTGTATAATTATTGTCATATGTTTTGTTTCGGAATTGAGTTGCTGATAACGCAAAAACATAACACCCCATCTTAAGATTTGTTTTTATGAGAAATATCGGGTCGAATTCTCGAAATTAAAACTTTAGTGATCAATTACAACTTACCAATTTTCTAGCGTGTTTTGCAAAGGCTTTCCAAAGGGTTCCGAGATCCATGAGCAGCTCGGTGGCATCTGCAACTGAAATGACTGGCTCCATAACAACCCTGCCCGAAGCCAGGACTCTGATGTACGTGTTTGAAGTGAATCTCGAAATAAAAGAAGACGATGGAAGAGTAAGTCGAAATTTCAAAAGTGTTTTTTTTGTTCCCAAAAATATATTGTTTTCCCCTTTTTAGGGTACATTTTCGACTGTCCCGAAAGACAGGAGCGGCTTCAAATTGCGCGTTAACTTAGACAAGCAACTTTATCTCAGCATTCGTCAGGTGTCGGATAATGGACTCCAACTGTTTATTGAACGTTGTTTTGGGGTCTTGATAGCTCCTGGGAGACATGTCAGACACTCCGACATGCAACTCCTTGAAATGGTACGTCTTTTGTTTGTTATTCGTTATTCCTTTAATTAAACAACAATATTTGTGTAGGTGCAGTTGGGACCCACCAATTCCAGCGGCGATAAGACGTCGTCAGTCATTTCGGCCTCGTGGGACCCTACTGAGCCCCCTTTTAATCTCTTGAACACAGAGACCCCGAAAGACACTAAACAATACATGACAGTGGCCGTTGATTTAGTTATTAGGGGCATACAAGAGCCCGTGAGGTTCCAAATGGAAACTTTGGTGAAGACTTACTCTCAAAACGAACGCTTTTGGTATTTCCAAAAAAGGACTTTAGTACAGCAATTCTTTCTCAACTTAAAAGAGGTTCGTAACGAATTTGAGGAACTTTAAGGAAAACTTTATGTTTATTTAATGATCTTTCAATAGGCACCATCAAAATGTTAAAATTGTGATAGTTTTAGATTCTTAACTGACCTAATTAATTGGCTTTTGAGAAAATAATGTTTACTTTTGATCACTCCGTATTTACCAGTAATACCTTTATAGTATAGTTATTTATTCGCCTTGTGAATTTTATTATTTTGAAATGAGATCGACCTTGTTCGAGGTCGCAATGGTATGACGTACTCATGTCGTAAATATCACTGTCCGCCCACCCTGTATACGGTAATAGTAAGTTTGATAACGACAATAATTTTCACAACCGACGCTCTTATTTGTTATCAGCTGCCATTATGTTTGCCAAAACAGAAGTGGTTTCGCTTTTTGTCGTTATCACGACGACATTGAGTTACGCTCCATTTCTGTGCTGGTAAATTATAATAAATTCGTTTTGAATCAATCACGTACTTCTGCGTCATTGGTGTATGCGGAACAATAGAATAGTGTAGTGAGTATTTGGGCGTAATTTTTATTTTTTTTTCTTCCTACGTCATTACAAAAAAATAAACACTGTTTCAATATATATTACGAATCGATTGATTTTGAATCGATGAATCGCCCTTTAACTGTTCGTAGTAACTAATAGGAAACTTTTACATTTTTAATAGTAACCGTTTTATTTATTTATTTTACAAAAGGTGGTGACTGGTGACTTGGGGGAGACAGTCTACGAAGTCTTGGGCATGGAAACGTCCGGAGAATTAGACAGGAATAGACTAAACTTGACACTCAATCTGTCTAGCTTAATTCAATCTCCTAGCATCCCTTCGGTGGATAGCATAACACCCAAAGACGATTATCATTCAGGTAAAAAAATAAAATAAAGTAGGTAGTAAAAGTTTATGTTGCATTGCAGATGATATACGCACCTGAACTTACACTAATAAAATATATTAATAATTACGAATTTTAACCGTCTTTTTGTGTTTATTAGATGGTGACGAGCCCCTGTTGAGTGGAACAGGTCTGGTGTCCAAAGACTGTTCCGAAGATGTCCTAGATAATTGGGCCGATGTTCTGAGTCGTTGGAAGACGACCAAACAAAGGCCAAAGCAACTTTCAAGTCTTGTGAGACATGGAATCCCAGAAGCTTTGAGGGGCGAAGTTTGGCAGCGTCTCGCAGGTACCGAGGAAAATTCTCAAATGATGAACACTTACAGGATACTCATAACTAAAGTATGTAAATGCGTTTGTAAGATATTGCAGAGGAATTTATTCTATATTTGGTTAAAGGAGAGCGCGTGCGAAAATGTAATACAAAGGGATATTGCAAGGACTTTTCCTGCCAATGACTATTTCAAGGAAGCGGGAGGCCTGGGACAGGATTCACTTTACAAAGTCAGCAAAGCATATGCGGTGTATGACTCTGAAGTGGGATACTGCCAGGGACTCAGTTTTTTAGCAGCTACTTTACTTTTGCATGTAAGTGACAATTAAAAAAGGAATTGTTTATTTTATTTGTTAGTGATTTTAAATTTTTTTTAATTGTAGATGCCCGAAGAACAAGCTTTCTGTGTTCTTGTTAAATTGATGTACGACTATAATCTTCGGGATTTGTACAAAGATGGGTTCGATAATTTGTATCTTCGTCTGTATCAGTTGAACAGACTTATCGAGGAGCAACTGGGGACCTTGTGGAGCCACTTGAGAGAGCACAGCGTCGAGACCCACATGTTCGCTTCCCAGTGGTTTTTGACCTTGTTTACCGCCAGGTTTCCCTTGTACTTTGTCTTTCACGTATTGGATATTTTTCTTCTGCAAGGAATCGATACTTTGTTTCAAGTATCACTGGCACTTCTTACTGTGAGTTTCATTTTAATTATTGTGGTACTTTAAAAAACCTTAGGATGGATGATTTACATATTAAATTTTAGATGTGTAAGAAGGATTTGCTACAACTCGACTTCGAAGGGATTCTAAAATACTTCAGGGTTCAATTGCCAAAAAAATGTCGTACTGAAGACGCTGCAAAGCAGATTATAAAGGCAGCCTGCAGTTTCAAATTGAAGAAACTCAAAAAATACGAAACTGAATTTATTGCAATGAAAGGTATTTTATTTGGCTTTTTAATTTAGCAATATTAAAGATGCTGTTCATAGGGTGCGATTGTGTGAGCGTGTTTGCTTTTTATACATTTTTTTTGTTGTTTCTTTATCATTACATTCATCCCAAACGTGCTTGTTTTTTATGTCCGGATTTATAAGATGAACCGTATTCATCCTAATCTGCTACATTTAGTGTTCTATTCCAAAGAAAAGATAATATTATTTATGCCGTCGAGTTAAAAGTTGGTTCAATTATAAAACGTACTTGTTTGCATCTATTCTAAATCAAATTTTTTATCATTTTAAAAAACAAATGCTTGCTTGGCATCTTTGTAGTTTATTTTTGTTTCATTTGTTGTTAAAATTGCACGCCTGCAATTGGTCTTTATATTTCACTGCCATCTTTTAATTTCTTTCCTTTTACCTTTTTGTTTTTTCTTTCTTTTTTTTATTGAATCGTCCCTCCCCATGCACGTTACCTGTTCCTTTTCCTATTTTTTCTATTGCTCCTATTTCTTGGCTGTCAGAACGAAAGTTGTACGCTTCCGTAACCTTTGTCGAAACGAATCTATTTAGACGACTGGGAAATTATCATGTTGGATTCAGAAGCAGCTGATAACGCGGAATCGGAGGCATCGGAGATGGAGCAGCTCAAAGCCACGTTGACTCGTCTAGAAGACGAGAGAAGGATCCTACTCGACGAAAACGCCCAACTCAAAGAGATGCTTAAGAGAGAAATTACCAAAGCAGAAGCAAGCGATTTAAAGAATATGAACATCATTAATGATTATAAATTGGTACGACAAAGGCTTGAAATGCAACTCTTTGCTGTCAGGGGTGATTTGAATAAATTAAAGGTTCGTTTTTCTAACAGTTTTATGAATGAGGTGACATACGGTATTTTCTATTTTCTAGGAAAAAGTAAGCGAGTGTGAGAAATGTGGCAAATTAGCAGATAATCGCAAGAGTACGGACAACATATCACAGTATGCTACCGAAGAAGACTCAAAAGAAAACCTATCTCCTGATCAACTAAAGGCCATTGAAAGAATCAGAGAATTAGAACTCGAACTGGCACAGACGAAACTTGCCCAGGTTGAAGCAGAGTGCAGAAATCAGGTTTGACTTCTTTAAATTTATATATAAAGGGGCGACATTGATAATTAATATACAAAACACAAAAATGAGAAAATTAAGTGCTTTACCAAATTTTGGTAGTTCTAGTCCTTCACATGACAGAGTTGTTACAATTTCAAAAATATAATGTTTTTGTTATTTTTTTTTTTTTTTAAGGACCTTACTCATCAACTTCGGGCCACTGAATCTGAACTTAATACGGCGAAGAATTCGTGGCCCCCTTGGTTAAGTAGAACCTTGACATCGATAAAAGAGGTAGCAAATAAAAAAGATTTCCCCCACTTTACGTATTCGCCCGCGGCTACACCCTCGTTTGTGTCACACGTGAGCGTTATTAGAAGAGAAAGTGCCCCAATGAAGGGTAGCGACTCTTGCGACGAATTAGATTCACGTAGAGAATCCGCCCCTAATATTAAAGATTCCCAAAGTTGTTCTAGTCTTAAGGCACAGAACTGATCTTGGCTTTTTTTCAGTCATTAACCAGTGACTGTAATGATTATTTTTTCTCATTGAAACATTAAAACGATCCAGACAAGTCCTAAAATCTATTTACAATAAGTTAATATATTATATTGTTATATTATATTAAAGAGAAATAGAATAGTGTAGTGAGTANAAAATTATTTATTATATATAGTAGTTTATACAATTTGTATTATTGTATCCATGGCACTTTTATAATTTGTGTATGTCAGTATTTTTGTTAGGAAGGATATTGAACTTACTTTTGAAAGTGATATTGTTCGAAAGAAAGGCACACAGTTTTTTAGATGTTTTGTCTCACATGACAGTCCTGTTTCATTATAATGTGGTTTCAGGAATGTTTTATTTTTATTTTTTTGTATTGTAAATATTTTGTTTACTTGCTTTAATAGTTTTGTAATATATCTGCTGACTTATTCCTGTTTTATACTTGATTTTTTTTTTATTTGTGGACGCAAACCAGATTGTTAGGTTTAATTATAACGTTTTTACACCCAGTTTTCAAAAAAACCAATTTGATAAAGTAAATTCTTTAATGAAGACGGAGTATAATTCATTTTACATAGAATATAAAAAGTAACTGTTTTAATACCTTTAATTTTTTCTTTTAAATAATCTGGAACTGTATATAGGTAGATATCTTCACAAATAAAGTAGAACTACTAAAAATAGCAAAGTAGTGACATTAACATTAATAAACACTAGTTTTTGTTTATCACTTGCTATTTTATTCAATTATGCCAAGTATATCATATCGTTTGTAGTTTACATATTAAGTATAAAACCCACAGCCAGTATAAATGTCCATCTCCAGCAACATATACTTAATACAATCAAATCCTTACCCATCAAATTAGTCCTTGTAGAGTACAACCTTCCCCATGTTTGGCTTTCTATTATCTCCTCAATACACGTTGTGATTAACTTTTCAAAGGTGAAGCATTAAGCAATGAGAACACTTTTTTGAAGCAGAATGTGAACACATAAAAATTTCCTTTTACTAGTTTTACGTGTAAAACTAAACAAGTTAACCTGCAATGAAGGACATGTAAACATATACTTTATCACTAAAATATTTCATCTGTTTTCCTTTTAATCCCAAGAATTCAATAACCAGCTTCTAGAATTAGGCAGCAGGATGTGTTGCAGGTTTATCAAGTTGTAACAATCACTATAACAAATTCTTTTGTTAAGTTGTACAAAGAGCAACATGAAATATCACAATAATAATTTTGTGTACACTAAATAAACGAGCAAGACTGCGGCAAACAAGCAAAAATTGATTTAAATAATTAATTAGAAGATGAAAGGTGTATTCAAATTATTTAATTTCTTGTTTTTTGCATAATTATGGTCAGTTATAAGTTAAAAATTTTATAAACAAACAATATTATAACCTAAAACCTGATACTTGTCATTTATGCAGGCTTCGATTATTCATCAAATTTAAAAAATATTTAATTAGCTCATTTTACTTAAACAAAATTGATAAAATTCTTTACAATGTTTATATAAATCCACTGTAAACCCTAATTTTTCCCTTTCACTCCAGTTTATAATTTTTCTTGAACACCGATCAATTTAAAAATGTATTTAGTTGGTAGTCTCATCAAAATGAACGCATCTTAAAATTTTATTGATTTTTCATTAAAATAATAATAATAACACTAAATTCCCGTCCACACTTATGCTCTCCTAATACAAAATTGCAAAATTTTAAAGTACGTTTAAAATAGTAATGTCCGGCGCCTTCACCATTTTTTAATGTTTGTTAAACTTTTTATTGCATACAGTATAAGTAATTACTGACTTTTTTTCCTAATTCAGCAAAAAATGAACTAAATAAGCACTCCTTTAACTTTATTTTTTTAAAATAATACTAATTTATTCGTAAAAAAAATTGCAATAAAAATTTGATAATTTGCCAAAAATAAAGCAAACGAGTGCATATTTAGATCATTTATTGATTAATCTTTGGTATTAGATGTGATTTATTCATAAATTAAGCAAAACATTTCAGCAAACGTTTGTTTTTCATTCCTATACGTTGGTCGACTTTAAACAAAAAAATCGTAAAAAATACCATAAATAATAATTTTTTGGCAAATCTAAAGCAAGCGGGAGCTCTTTATATCAATTATTAGTTACTCTATATCATTAGTTATCATTTATCGATGAATACAGCAAAAATAATTGGCAGATGTTCGATTTCGGTTCCCAAAAACGATCGACAGGATGGGTTTTTTTCGGGAACTGAAATCGAACAGTAGGACAAATTTTTCGCTTAATTCATCAGTAAATGACAACTGATATGGATAATTGATTAATAAACGATAAGAACTAGCTGTGGCTTGCTTTATTTTTGTTATAAAATGATTATTTATTGTGTTTTTTACGTTTTTTCGTTCAAGATCGACCCACGTATAGGAATGAAAATCGAACGAATCAAGTTGAAAAATTTTTGAGAAATTTATTAAACAAAAATTTTCAACTCGATTCGTTCGATTTTCATTCTTATACGTGGGTCGACCTTGAACGAAAAAACGTAAAAAACACCATAAATAGTCATTTTTTAACAAAAATAAAGCAAGCCACAGCTAGTTCTTATCGTTTATTAATCAATTATCCATATCAGTTATCATTTACTGATGAATTAAGCGAAAAATTTGTCCTACTGTTCGATTTCAGTTCCCGAAAAAAACCCATGTATAGCTACCTGTCGATCGTTTTTGGGAATCGAAATCGAACATCTGCCAATTATTTTTGTTGTATTCATCGATAAATGATAACTAATGATATAGATTAATTAATAATTGATATAAAGAGCTCCCGCTTGCTTTATTTTTGCCAAAACATTATTATTTATGGTATTTTTTACGATTTTTCGGTCAAATTCTACCCAAGTATATGAACTAAAATCGAACTTTTGTTGAAAATTTTTGCCTAATTCATCAATAAATCACATTATTATCAAAGATTATTCAATAAATGATTTAAATACGCAATAGCTTGCTTTATTTTCCGTGATTTTTGCTAGATTCAACAAACAATTATACTTCTTGTTTATCTGGCATTTAACTAGTTAAATAAAAGCACTTGGTGTATTTTGCATCTTAGCTTTATTTTAAAAGATCTCACAATTGTTTTAGTTATTACAAAGTTTTCAAAGGGAGACTTTCTGTGGTTAAATTTATATAATTACAGCTATTTATAGTATGCATTACATCAGAAATATTAAAACTACGTTTTTAATTTTACAATCCATGTTAGTAGAAATGTAAAGGGTTGTTAAAAAAGGGTTGAATGCGCCCATTGGTTACTTGTAATTATACAATAGTTTAAAGGAAAAGACAGTAAGTATTTTCTTTAAATAAGTCTGCTACAGGAAGTCTGCGCATTTATAATTTTACAATTCATGTTTGTAGAAGTGTAAAGGGCTGTTAAAAGGGGTTGAAAGCTCTCACAAGTTATTTGGAACTACACAATATTTAAAAGCAAAACACAATAAGTACTTTTGTGTAATTTGACCCTTTTATCTCTTTAAATAAGCTTGCTATAGGAAGTTTACCCATTTAAACTTACAATTCATTTTTGTAGAAGTGTAAAGGGTTAAAAAGGGTTGAAAGCTCCTACTGGTTATTTCTTATTACATAATATGTTAAAGGAAAAGACGATGAGTACTTTAGTGTAATTTGGCCCTTCTGTATCTTTAAATAAACCTGCTACAGGAAGTCTACACCTTTAATATTTGTAGAAGCGTGACGGGTTGTTAAATGGGGTTAAAAGTACCCACCGGTTATTTCTGACTACTTAACACTTTAAAGAAAAAGATAGTAAGTACAGTAGCGTAATTTGGTCCTTCTGTATCTTTAAATAAGTTTGCTACAGGAAATCTGCCTATTTAATTCTACAATTCATGTTTTCAGAAGTGTAAAGGGCTGTTAAAAAGGGTTGAAAGTTTTAACAAGTTATTTGGAACTACACAATGTTTAAAAGCAAAAGACAATAAGTACTTTTGTGTAATTTAGCCCTTTTATTTCTTTAAATAAGCTTGCTACAGGAAATTTACCCATTTAATTGTACAATTCATTTTTGTAGAAGTGTAAAGGGTTGTTAAAAAGGGTTGAAAGCTCATATTGGTTATTTCTTATTACATAATATGTTAAAGGAAAAGACGATGAGTACTTTAGTGTAATTTGGCCCTTCTGTTTCTTTAAATAAACCTGCTACAGGAAGTCTACACATTTAATATTTGTAGAAGCGTGACGGGTTGTTAAATGGGGTTAAAAGTGCCCACCGGTTATTTCTGACTACTTAATACTTTAAAGAAAAAGATAGCAAGTACAGTAGCGTAATTTGGTCCTTCTGTATCTTTAAATAAGTTTGCTACAGGAAATCTGTCTATTTAATTCTACAATTCATGTTTTTAGAAGAGTAAAGGGCTGTTAAAAGGGGTTGAAAGCTTTCACAAGTTATTTGGAACTACACAATTTTTAAGGGCAAAAGACAATAAGTACTTTTGTGTAATTTAGCCCTTTTATCTCTTTAAATAAGCTTGCTATAGGATGTTTACCCATTTAAACTTACAATTCATTTTTGTAGAAGTGTAAAGGGCTGTTAAAAGGGGTTGAAAGCTTTCACAAGTTATTTGGAACTACACAATTTTTAAGGGCAAAAGACAATAAGTACTTTTGTGTAATTTAGCCCTTTTATCTCTTTAAATAAGCTTGCTATAGGATGTTTACCCATTTAAACTTACAATTCATTTTTGTAGAAGTGTAAAGGGNGAAATCGAACAGTAGGACAAATTTTTCGCTTAATTCATCAGTAAATGACAACTGATATGGATAATTGATTAATAAACGATAAGAACTAGCTGTGGCTTGCTTTATTTTTGTTATAAAATGATTATTTATTGTGTTTTTTACGTTTTTTCGTTCAAGATCGACCCACGTATAGGAATGAAAATCGAACGAATCAAGTTGAAAAATTTTTGAGAAATTTATTAAACAAAAATTTTCAACTCGATTCGTTCGATTTTCATTCTTATACGTGGGTCGACCTTGAACGAAAAAACGTAAAAAACACCATAAATAGTCATTTTTTAACAAAAATAAAGCAAGCCACAGCTAGTTCTTATCGTTTATTAATCAATTATCCATATCAGTTATCATTTACTGATGAATTAAGCGAAAAATTTGTCCTACTGTTCGATTTCAGTTCCCGAAAAAAACCCATGTATAGCTACCTGTCGATCGTTTTTGGGAATCGAAATCGAACATCTGCCAATTATTTTTGTTGTATTCATCGATAAATGATAACTAATGATATAGATTAATTAATAATTGATATAAAGAGCTCCCGCTTGCTTTATTTTTGCCAAAACATTATTATTTATGGTATTTTTTACGATTTTTCGGTCAAATTCTACCCAAGTATATGAACTAAAATCGAACTTTTGTTGAAAATTTTTGCCTAATTCATCAATAAATCACATTATTATCAAAGATTATTCAATAAATGATTTAAATACGCAATAGCTTGCTTTATTTTCCGTGATTTTTGCTAGATTCAACAAACAATTATACTTCTTGTTTATCTGGCATTTAACTAGTTAAATAAAAGCACTTGGTGTATTTTGCATCTTAGCTTTATTTTAAAAGATCTCACAATTGTTTTAGTTATTACAAAGTTTTCAAAGGGAGACTTTCTGTGGTTAAATTTATATAATTACAGCTATTTATAGTATGCATTACATCAGAAATATTAAAACTACGTTTTTAATTTTACAATCCATGTTAGTAGAAATGTAAAGGGTTGTTAAAAAAGGGTTGAATGCGCCCATTGGTTACTTGTAATTATACAATAGTTTAAAGGAAAAGACAGTAAGTATTTTCTTTAAATAAGTCTGCTACAGGAAGTCTGCGCATTTATAATTTTACAATTCATGTTTGTAGAAGTGTAAAGGGCTGTTAAAAGGGGTTGAAAGCTCTCACAAGTTATTTGGAACTACACAATATTTAAAAGCAAAACACAATAAGTACTTTTGTGTAATTTGACCCTTTTATCTCTTTAAATAAGCTTGCTATAGGAAGTTTACCCATTTAAACTTACAATTCATTTTTGTAGAAGTGTAAAGGGTTAAAAAGGGTTGAAAGCTCCTACTGGTTATTTCTTATTACATAATATGTTAAAGGAAAAGACGATGAGTACTTTAGTGTAATTTGGCCCTTCTGTATCTTTAAATAAACCTGCTACAGGAAGTCTACACCTTTAATATTTGTAGAAGCGTGACGGGTTGTTAAATGGGGTTAAAAGTACCCACCGGTTATTTCTGACTACTTAACACTTTAAAGAAAAAGATAGCAAGTACAGTAGCGTAATTTGGTCCTTCTGTATCTTTAAATAAGTTTGCTACAGGAAATCTGCCTATTTAATTCTACAATTCATGTTTTTAGAAGTGTAAAGGGCTGTTAAAAAGGGTTGAAAGCTTTCACAAGTTATTTGGAACTACACAATTTTTAAGGGCAAAAGACAATAAGTACTTTTGTGTAATTTGGTCCTTCTGTATCTTTAAATAAGTTTGCTACAGGAAATCTGCCTATTTAATTCTACAATTCATGTTTTCAGAAGTGTAAAGGGCTGTTAAAAAGGGTTGAAAGTTTTAACAAGTTATTTGGAACTACACAATGTTTAAAAGCAAAAGACAATAAGTACTTTTGTGTAATTTAGCCCTTTTATTTCTTTAAATAAGCTTGCTACAGGAAATTTACCCATTTAATTGTACAATTCATTTTTGTAGAAGTGTAAAGGGCTGTTAAAAGGGGTTGCTCCAGTTTATAATTTTTCTTGAACACCGATCAATTTAAAAATGTATTTAGTTGGTAGTCTCATCAAAATGAACGCATCTTAAAATTTTATTGATTTTTCATTAAAATAATAATAATAACACTAAATTCCCGTCCACACTTATGCTCTCCTAATACAAAATTGCAAAATTTTAAAGTACGTTTAAAATAGTAATGTCCGGCGCCTTCACCATTTTTTAATGTTTGTTAAACTTTTTATTGCATACAGTATAAGTAATTACTGACTTTTTTTCCTAATTCAGTAAAAAATGAACNTTAAAAGGGGTTGAAAGCTTTCACAAGTTATTTGGAACTACACAATTTTTAAGGGCAAAAGACAATAAGTACTTTTGTGTAATTTAGCCCTTTTATCTCTTTAAATAAGCTTGCTATAGGATGTTTACCCATTTAAACTTACAATTCATTTTTGTAGAAGTGTAAAGGGTTAAAAAGGGTTGAAAGCTCCTACTGGTTATTTCTTATTACATAATATGTTAAAGGAAAAGACGATGAGTACTTTAGTGTAATTTGGCCCTTCTGTTTCTTTAAATAAACCTGCTACAGGAAGTCTACACATTTAATATTTGTAGAAGCGTGACGGGTTGTTAAATGGGGTTAAAAGTACCCACCGATTATTTCTGACTACTTAACACTTTAAAGAAAAAGATAGCAAGTACAGTATCGTAATTTGGTCCTTCTGTATCTTTAAATAAGTTTGCTACAGGAAATCTGTCTATTTAATTCTACAATTCATGTTTTTAGAAGAGTAAAGGGCTGTTAAAAGGGGTTGAAAGCTTTCACAAGTTATTTGGAACTACACAATTTTTAAGGGCAAAAGACAATAAGTACTTTTGTGTAATTTAGCCCTTTTATCTCTTTAAATAAGCTTGCTATAGGAAGTTTACCCATTTAAACTTACAATTCATTTTTGTAGAAGTGTAAAGGGCTGTTAAAAGGGGTTGAAAGCTTTCACAAGTTATTTGGAACTACACAATGTTTAAAAGCAAAAGACAATAAGTACTTTTGTGTAATTTAGCCCTTTTATCTCTTTAAATAAGTTTGCTACAGGCAGTCTAGGGTCTAGATATTCAATTTTACAATTTGCTTGTAGAAGCGTAAAGGGTCGTTAAAAGGGCTTAAGTACTTTACTGTGATTTAACCCTCCTGTATTTTTGAATATGTGTGCAACAAACAGCTGACATATTCAATCTTACAACAGATTACATTTGTTAGGGTTGAAATAATTTACCATTAACTAAACTTCTAACGAAATCATACCTAGAAGGTTAAGATACTAATTTATTTGGTCTAATTTTGTTTCTTCTGTTCCTTAAGATGTGGGTGCTGCGCGAATTCCACCTTCCCGATCACTAAATTTAGTGCATAGGAGCTTCAAGTGGCTGTAATCAAACGGTGTGATTGAATCTTGTGTTGAAGCTTGCCAATACCAATGATGAACACTGGGACTTCCTTAATGATTTTGGGGTCGAACTACCCTCCTCTTTGTAGATTAACCTAATCAAAGTCCTTATATAAATTATCACTAATACAAATTTTAAAGTACACTTTTAGTAAAAATAAAAGTGTCTTAAAATGTCGATTTTGTTATGGGTAATTGTTTTAATCTAATGTATATTTACCTTGTAACACATTAGCCCAAGAAAGACAATTTCTGTCTTTTGTACTGATGAAACTCTCATTTTTCTATGTGTATTTCTTTTCAAGTGATATTATTTTTATCCATCCAATGGGGAATCAATTCGAGCCACATCCTTCATAGATTCATAGTTTGTTGTAGTTATCCAAAAATTCCTAAAACAAATCAGTACTTAATACAATTGCTTAGATTAATTGTAATGGTAACGAATTACTGCTATTACATAGTCTTAATAATAAAAAAGTATTGTTAAGCTGTCCAGTATTTACTTACAATTTCATAAGGAAATTAATATTCTAAGAAATTTTGATTTATTTATTATTTACGGACGGTATTTAAAACTTACGCTTTATTATTTTAGTTGATTAGGCAACACATCAAACTTGCAATCCTTGCAGCATACAGGGTGTTTTCTTCTTGCTATTACTTACAGGATGAAAAAAGATCGTAGCTGAGAACGGATGGGAAAACTGTCCTTGATTGTAGATTTCATATTTTAAATGCAAATTACCATAATTAGCTCATTATCCTCAAAATGTTACACTAGAAGGAAAGATGAACTGGTTTACAACTGCAAAGAAAATATTTTAATTTTGCATTTTTGTGATTTTGTTGCAAATCGCCCTTGTTTTCTTCTGATGTAATTATTACATCCCGTGTATTATTTAAAGTAAAACTAACAATCTTCTTAATTCTGCTTCTTTCCTTGAATTTGTTGTATTCTTTCTTGAATTGCAGCTTTGGCATCGACATTCGATTTTAATATAAATTTGGTGGGGTTTGAACCCCGAAGGGAGAAAAGGAAAAGGAGCAGGGGAAAGGGTAGACAGAGAAGAATAGAAAAGGGGGAAATAGCGAGGAAAGATGAGCAAAGTGGGGGGTGTTGAACGAGGGTGATGAGAGGTATCACAGATTTAAAAGGATGGAAATGATGTGTGTTGAATTTTTTGATATTGCTATCATATTTTTGTTGTTTTTATCTTTTAAATCTTTTAAAAAAAGAGTGAACATACTTTGAGATCCCGCGCACTTAAAAACTATAACTATAAACTAACATACAGAGACTATTAATAGTTAAAAAGTACAAGAGCTAAACAGTATTAAAGCCAAATATTGGTTTGTTTTTAATCCAATCAATTTAGACTAAATTTCTTGGTTGGTTTCTTTTTTCATTTGACAAAAAAATGGTGTATTGTATTAATTATCAATTAATTACTGTTAATATTGCACAACTCTACATATTGTGTTCCTAGGCATATCTGGAAGACAACAAGGGTTTTGCCAGAATACAATACATGGATGTAATTATTTTCGATTATTTCAGTGCCAAGTATACATTTCAAATAAAACAAAAACTTTGAAAAAACAACACGCAATAATTAATAATTTTGATAAAATAAAGTACATTCTTCGTTATTCTATTTTTTTATCATTTTTTTTTTCCTGGATAAAAACGTCTTTTTAAAAAACGACACACGAAATGTATACCGTGACGTCAACTGAAGCTTGGTACATGTATCTTAACATCTATCTAATATTTTACAAATAATTGTGATTATATATTTTTTGTACTCCATTTAATAAAAATACACGTCACCAACGACGTATCTGTAGATCTTCTCTATACATTTGTACTTGCAAAATAGCATTTAAATATGATTTTCTTTTAACAGCAATATTTCATTTCTTTTAACAACATAATAGACAGAGAAACATCAATTTCAAAATAATCCCATTCCAGATAGTGAAAGTTACTTTCTTAATGCATCTCCTACTTCCAAAATTTCATAAATGCTGTCTGCCACAAAACTAACTCAAGGCAATATACAAAACAAATCGTGCCAAAAACAATTCACTATATAAAATGGGAAAATAAACACTTGTTTATCCTTTTTTCCTTTATACACATGTTTTTTATAGTACATTAAAAATCGACAAAAAAAGGATAAAAACTATTTGTAAAAATTGCAGAAGAGGCCCTTAAATAACTGATTTGAATTTCTAATCAGTACTTGTCAGTTAAAACTGACTCTGGAATTTCAAAGCAGTCCAAGAGACCTCATATTTAATTTAAGTGCTAATTTGTCTTTGGATTTAAATCTAATCAAAGTCAGGCATACATAATCCATCATACATCTCATAGACACACACTTAAAGCATTTTCCCAATAAACTAAAATTTATACTCTCATATAAAACGTAAAATAAATCACATTATGAAAGTGGCTTAAGAATTACATCTAAACAGTCATAATGAACTTCTAAAATTAATATCACTTGAGCGGCTAAACAGGACAATCTTTTACTTTCACAAAGACTGGCTAATTTTTGAAAATTAATTACATAGGCAGCAATAAATTTTGTTACATTTTATTTTTTTTTTTTTTAATAATTTGAGAACAAAGAAAGTTTCAAATTTATTCTTTAAGAACATGATCTGAATTCAAATAAAATGCAATGAAGTAGAAATAAAACCAAAGGAAAAGTTTTCATACCATTAAAACTGGTATCCTCTTTGTGGAGACTGTCGTGTTCACTCGCTATTTAGGAAGTTATTATTGAAAGTAATGTCCACCCATCACAATAGTATGATCGATTGTAATATGTCTCTTTCATATTTCTCACGACCTGGTAAATATCCTGGTCAAGCTTGCACATTCAGAAGCATCTTAAGTTGTCTGGTGAAATCAGACGGTTGAGAAGCTTCCTTTGTAAATTTACAATTAATTGACATTTTTTGCATCCAATGTTGTGGCGGCGGAGGCAATGCTGAAGGAAGAGGTGGCTCGACCCATTTGCAGCCGGCATAGTGGCCAGCAAGGAGGCCTGGACTGGTCCTTGGACTAGATCCTTGACTATCGGAGGTCGAATACCTGTGCAAGCTCATTCTCTGCACTCCTATCGCGTTTGTGCGTGAATTGTTGGCGATGGTGTTGAAATAATAGGCCGGATTCGGGTGTTTAATTGCACGAGACTTTGAATAGTCCCCTTTGTACGTACCCAGATTTTTCTTGGCCATATCACTATCAGTGCAATATTGCGCTAACTGTCCATTAACACTGATTTTTAAAAATTACTGTAATAACACGGCGTCCGTGTCGTCAATATTAATTTGAAACACCTATTCGATTTCGCTTTTATTTTCGGATAGAATAGATTAAATCCATCTTGCACAAAATGGACGCTGATCATAACAAAGAATCCAAAATGGTTGTGGCAACGTAGATCGCACCAACACTTCCGTCGTTATTTAAGAAATGCTATCTACTATCACAGCCTTTTCCGATTCACAATTGTAATGTCTCTGCTTTAATAAACTTGACAATAAAAATTTATACTATCTAATGAATATTTTCTATTTTTATTTGGGATAACTCTCGTTCGTTCACTATCGTTCACTTCCATTCGTTAACATTATTAATAATCGTCATCATTTGCGTCACGACGTATGATGATGGCCGCCATCGTTGCACGTATTCACCATAGAAATTTAGTGTAAATTATTGAAAAGTCATAGAGTTATTCCAAAGGTGCGTTCGTTATGATAAGCCTATCAAAATATTTCATAGATAGATCAGTGAACTCTAACTTAAAATTAACATTTTTTTTAATTCATTTAAGGTTGTTTAAGTCATATAATATAACTACATTGTACCAAACAAGCATTATTCTAATTTAATGGAAGTACAATAAATTTTATCTAGTTAATTATGATACACTAAGAAATGGTGATGCATTTTGCAGCAATTACTTTATAACGAATAATAATATATTTTATTGCTCAATCGTGAGATTATTTCTTACGTTATAAAAAATATTGGATAGTTTAAAAAACATCATAAGTTTTATATGTAATGGGATTTTGGATTACTGAAATCTGTCGTTTATGTTCTTTGATGACCTCACTCGCTTACTTTTCAATGCCGAGTTTGGTCTTTTGTGTTGGTGTATAGAAATTTGAGTGTAATTTCGTGATTTCACAACACAAAAGAAAAAGTTTTATCTTGTTCTTGTCCCCTTTCTATCTGTAATAAGTCGTGTTGCAATAAAATTGTTTTTTTGTGCAATTAAAACGTTATTTTAGTGGATCGAAATTTTAGTTCCTTTATATTTAGTTGTTTTTGTTTTGTCAAGTGTGCAATGTTCCCACTGGATCAATAGTGCACTTCACACAGGAATCATATCGTTTGGACTCGTTTGAATTAAGTGTTCGTGGGGAAAGGTTTCCCATAATTACATGCAAATTTACAATTATTAGTCTTACAAGGGATTATATTCTAGGTAGTTTGTAATGAATCCTAACAACCATGGTCAACCAAGAAGGAACTCTTCTTCATATAATAGGCATGCAACTAATCATGGGCCCAGGTCTAATCATTCCCATAATAACCATTTGAGATGGTCCAATCGTTATTCTAAAGACTTTTCTAGAGATTTTGACAACAACTTCAATAGAGGGTAATTATCATAACAAGATAAGTGCATCCATTTTGAAGTTAAGTCAATATTTTTTTGTTAGTGAGTGCTCAATTTCCAATGGATCTACTTCCAAGGACTCAAATTTCGTTCATGGGTATCCGAAAAACCCACAACTGAGCCCAATCTTGTGTGCAAATCATATGGCTTTTTCTAATGAAGCTCAAGGTGAGAAGTTTTTTTAATCATCTTAACCTAACCTTAAAAGTAACCAATTTGCCATTAATTTACTGTTATAATGTTTTTTGTTTGAGGAAATTTAATATTTTAAAAGACATTTGTATTTCTGTTCATAATTTCAGTGTTTATATTGTTAAACAAAAGTTGTTTCTTAATTTCTAATTCACAAAAATGGTATCCATCTTTCTGACTCATTCTCCATCTATACTTTATAAAGTACTCATGAATTTTTGCTTGTGTGTCTCCACCAAGTATTCAAGAGCCAATAAAGAAATGGACTTTATAGTAACATTGTTGTTTACATAAGTAACCTGTTGTAAACACAATTTCAGACATATAAACAATAGATATTTGTTGCCCTTTTGGACAACTCTTTTCAGCTGCTGAAACATTAAGTATGTCAAACTATTAAAGATAAAAGAATGAAATTAATTGACTTTGAAAATAATTAATAACGTATATGATTGTTGATCGTTTATATTTCGTTTTAAAGGACCCCAAGACCGCAGACACATACCCGTTTCTGTTAGCGCAGTGGATCGTCGTTTAAGTCAAGGTTACCAGCACGTACAAGACCGACGCGGTATTGGAAATTTAGCGGACAGACGCCACATTTCGCCACCCTTGCATATCAACATTTGCGACAACCCTACCAACTTACTGAGCACCCCCCAGGCAGAAGAGCTGCAGCGGCAGCTTATGGACTTTTCTAATTCTCAAAGGAGACACGGACGAGGTAATTAATGTTGTGAGGGAGAAGATACAAAAGTACTTTAATAGCGACTTGTAAATCTTACAGAGCTTCATGTGAGCCCTGTGCAGTTCCAACAGCACTCGACGCAATATTTTAGACAGGCCAGCGACGAGAGCATCAAGTCAGAGAGTCCGTCTCGCAAACGAAGACGCCTGTCGCGTTCGGGACACCATTTAGAACTGAATGTGCAGCCCCCTTCGCCACCGAGGCGGTCCCCACGTCAACACTTGCCTACTACGACCCATCACAACATGCAGGTAGAGTTTGATGTGCTCTAGTGTTCTAAAAACGTTTTCCTACACAGACTTTCAAGACCTCTAAATTCTTTCTTACCCATATTAAAAAATTTTTGTGTTCTTTATAGGGAAGCCCTCCGCTTCGCCGTCCGCGCTACAGAGACAGGAACGAGTTCGCGCACTCGCACAGTCAAACGTTCCTTCCCAGTTCACCTCCTACAGCCCACGCTCATCAACATCAATCTACCGTCGTCATGGACATTAATCAGGTCCTTATATGTGATTTTTTGTGTAACTAACCCCGTTTAATCCTGCTTTTGAAATTCAAATAGGTCCCTGTAACGATTCCCGTCAATCACGAGACGGTCTGGAGCTACACAGCACCGCCCCCGCACATATCGTTGTGTTCAGCTCCTGCTGGAGCACCTCATCACATGCACACGTGTCATGTGCACAATATTTATCCGGCACCACCGCCCCCGCCGACGCACCATCAGCTGATGGCGGCGCAACAATTCGCCGCGCCTCCTGGGTGTTTGCCGGCGCATCAAAGCTATGGCGCCTTTAGCGGTGGCACCGGGAACCTGGCGGTGCCTGGACAACATTACACGCACCACCCTCATCAACATATTTCGCCACAAGTAACAAAATTAACTTTAAATAAAATGATGGTAATGTAAATGATATACATGTAATTATTTTAGAGATCAGAAGCTATTGAATTGGAGCTCATAAATGACCACCATCACGCGCACACTCATCCGTTGCATGCAGGGCCCCCGTCGCTCCACCATGTGCCCCCATCGTTGCAGGTGTCGCCTTCGGCGTCTATTTTTATGCCTCCAAACGATTCGCGGAACAACAATCAGTTGGAACAGCTTTTGCATATGCGTACAGCTCACGCTCGTTATTTGAGGGGTGCTCGTCTACCTCCGCCCCCACTACAGTCTCGGGCTCGTTGGCATCACAACGGCACCCCTCTCATGCAGTCCGCGGCACAATATTCCGGTTTTCTCTTCCACTTTTTGTACGTAATTTAGAACTCTACACCAGATAACGTTTAACACTAATTATGATTTTCTGCTGTTTAGGACCATGTTCTCAAATCCGCCTCTGTCTCCGTTCTCGCAGACGGACCTGAGCAGTTCGGACACTACCGAAACGGAGAATTACGAGGCGTTGTTAAACTTGGCTGAGCGATTGGGCGAGGCGAAGCCCCGAGGTCTTGCAAAATTGGAAATAGAACAGCTTCTGAGTTACAAGTTTAACGCAGATACTCATCAGGGAGATCAGACGTCATGTGTTGTTTGCATGTGCGATTTCGAGGCGAGACAGCTTCTCCGGGTGCTCCCCTGCTCCCACGAGTTCCACGCCAAGTGTATCGACAAATGGCTAAGGGTAAGAAGTTTTACGGTTCTATCTATCCCCATTATTAAGAAATTTTTTCCAACAGTCGAACAGAACATGTCCGATTTGCCGAGGAAATGCTTCAGAATATTTCCACAACGCCGAATAAAATCTTGTAGTTGTGCTGCTTCGGGAGGTTGGCTGGCGTCCTCCGTTGCTCCCAGAAGATTCCGGCTCCGTTTTTTATTACCCGTTACGTACATGATTATTTTTTAATCTAATTTATTTAGAGTGCCATTGTTTGCCAGTAAAAGTATTCTTCCCCCCCAATTAGATCGTCTTCGTGAACGGGACGTGCGAATAATATTGTAACGTAGCCCATCTTTTTAATTATTAATTATTATCAGTTATTAGTAAGTTTTTTTTCTCCGCCGTTAATGTTCCACCAATTGTAACTACCTCCAGGTTGTAACAGGGTTACTGAGAGTCGCGATCGACGTTTTTTCTTCCCCTTTCGCTTTCTCTCTCTCTCTCTGTCTCCCCCCACTCTTATTTTATTAAAATACATACCAAGTCCAAAACGGTACGGTTTCATTATTATTTATAATAGCGCGAACAAAACGGAATAGAAACAACTGCTGCTTTAAGAATATGTAACTTTTTAAGGGAACTTATCGATTTTTGGATGCCATGTAGATGTCTTCTTGGCATTCAAAATTGATTGAATAAGAAATGTCCTTTTGGTTGAAACATTTGGAGTCTCAATAATACCTTTTCTGGTATGTTGTGAAATCACTGAATTCTCCAGTCTTATTTTGTAATTATCATCATAGGTTTTTGTTGTTATTAAATACCATTTTTAAAATTTTGGGTTTAATAACGAATAATAATTATTAAATATCTTCTAGTAAAAAATATGAGTATTGAATAAATGTTGTTGAAATTAGGGAATTATTATTATTAATAACGTTACGAACGATTGTGGACGTGCTTTTTCATGTTGTTCGTGGTGGTAACTTTCTTTTCTTTTTTTAATTACTATTAAAACTATTATTATTATTGTTAGCATAAGTAAGGGATTACGAAATGCCATCTGACTTTCCTTATTGATTAATTAATTTTATTGATTAGTTCTTAAGCTCTCGCTACTATTGCTCACATACTGTTATTATTATAAATAAGTTTCTTATTTTATTCTTTACGTTGTTGCACTTAAATTGGCGCGCGCGAGTTCGATAGATTATTAATTTCAGCGGATTTTTTTTTGTTAAAGTCGATCTTATTGATAATTGATCGAAAAGACACACATACAACTCACTTTGTCACTTTCTTCATATTATAAAGGCCAATCAGTGGACTACTGTTTATTAAAGTGATATATATACGTAGTTGTAACCTTTTTTTGGGATTCGTTGTAACTTTAAAATGCAATTTATTGTTGTATACTTCTTAGTTTTTTGTTCTTCTAATGTTCAGCGAGTACTACATAAAATTTAAAAATAATTCCTACGCTACAGTACTAGAAACAATGTCTGCAAAATGTTATTGGTTTGTTTTGTAGATAGTTATAATCAAATTTTTCAACTTTCTTTGCCTGTACTACTAAATCATTATTGTCTCTTGAAAATTAAGAAAAAAAATCTCTCTTTTGTTCGAGAGAAGAATAACTGTCTTCATTTGAATATTTTGCAAAAAAAATTAATGTAATAGGTGTGCCTTTGTATTGTACAATTTATTATGTGTATAAATAGTGGATTCCTTGTAAAGTTTCTCATACTACATAATAATGTTGAATGAAAGTATTTCAAGTGCCGAGCAGAACAGAAAAAACATTAAAATTATCCTAGGCTTACATATAAAAGATAACCTGTAGTGTGTTTATTTTATTTTCTAAAGAGTTTTCCCCTTTTTAGCTTTTAGATCGAGTAAATTCGAGGAAAATTAATTGTTTAGTTATAATAATCTATTAATAATAAAATTTTGCTCTTTAGTTGTTGTTCATCATTTACTTTTTCGAAAAAATTATTAATAAGATTATTACTTTAAAATTAAAAGCTTTTTAGAAAATAGAAGTTATTGTAATAATTATTATCACC